ATGTGAAGGTGGTATGGGTAATGCAAAGGTAAAGCAACATATATATTATTATATTATTATTATTATATGCATACATATGTGGGGAAAATGTCTATGACATTGTTTTCTTACCATTAACTTTATTATTTAGTAAATTATTTTTTTAAAAGCCTAACCAAAATGTTCATTTTTGCTTCCAATAACCCCTTTACACTGGTACTTATGTATACACGACTGCCAGGCAATACAAACATACCCAGCAATTGTGTATAAATGATTAGCATAATTGCAAATTATATTTGTTTATTGCATATTATGCCATAACTACTGTCAAAGAGCTCACAACGCAGTGGCATAGGGAGTCGCGACAATGCAAGCCTCTAAAGATGAATACAGAGACTAGCTCTCTGTATCCAAAACTGCAATCCTGCCATTTAATATATCTACAGCTTCTTATAAAAACACTAATAGGCCTCATGTTCGAGTTTCGCCTTAGGCCTTGCAAAGTCTAGAGCCACCCCTGGTGGAGTTCGCAGGAATCGATGGACCACTGTAAAACCAATGGGTGATGAAGAAATCTTACCAGAGCACATTGAATATGTATAGACGTATATATCCAAACCAATGAGTTTTTTTTCAACACACCCCAAAATCTGGCATGATTAATTGCTCAGCCTATTCGCAACATCTCTAGCTCACTTTCCTCTATGCAATAAGAAATTCTTTTTTCTTTCTCAAAAAAATGCTACATCCTATATGTAATATTGTACTTGTCCACAGCAAACAAACTTTTTTGACTAAACTGATTTCTCAAAAAATTATTTTGGTTAGAAGAAACAGAGTTGCATTTATGTTTTATTTCGGACGAATTAGATCCAAGTGATTGTTTCAGAAAAAACTATTTGGATGAACCAAAATGGAGTTAAAATGCACCACCTTAGTTTACTGCAATGAAAAAAATTGCATGTTTTTATGATGCCAATTGGGACTTGTCATAATTATATTATCAGTAAATGACTTTTAAATTTGTAAATCAAAGTTAGTTTAATTGTCCCTGGCTAGGCACAGCAGTAACCTAACCACCTCACTATTCTTATACTAGGATCAAGGACAGGGCCGGCCTTAGGCAATTAGGCGCCCTGTGCAAAAAGTCTTCACGGCGCCCCCCCCACCTCCCACCAAGTTGCCTGAATACAGTAACACACACAGGCACCGGGGACGTGTGTATCACGAGGCAAACAAGGCATCTGCCTTGGGCGCCACTTTGCAGGGGGCGGCAAAAAAAAGCATCCCTCAAAACCCCCAGGCAGATCCCTTGCTTGCCTCGCATCCTGGGGGGCTCAAGAGCTGACCGGCTGGCCACTTTTGAGCCCCCCCAAGGCTGGCAGCGGGCAGCGAAGGAGCATACTCTCCTGAGCTCTTCCTGCTCAGCTTCCTCTGCGCCGCTTAATGAAGCCGGGAGCCAGAATATGACGTCAGTCCGGCTCCCGGCATCACTAGGCGCTGCTTACTCAGCCTGTGCGCCCCCTGCCTGCCTGCCCAGCAGCCACACTGGACTGCTGGTAAGAAATCCACTCCAGCTTTCCCAGGGAGGCTGGGTGGATTTAAAATAAATGTAAAAAATATTAGTTTGTGAGTGTTAGTGGAAATGTCTGTGTGTGTGTCTTTGAGTGTTTATTTTGAAGTGAATGTGTGTGTGTGTGTGTGTGTGTGTCTGTAAGTGTGTAATTGTGTGTGTCTGTAAGTGAATGTGTGTGTGTCTGTGAGTGAATGTGTGTGTTGGTCAGTGAGTGTATATGTGTCAGTCAGTGAGTGTGTATGTGTCAGTCAGTGAGTGTATATGTGTCAGTCAGTGAGTGTGTATGTGTCAGTCAGTGAGTGTGTATGTGTCATCAGTGAGTGTGTATGTGTCGTCAGTGAGTGTGCGTCTGTCAGTGAGTGAGCGTCTGTCAGTCAAAGTGCGGCCTTGACAGGAAGGGGTGGGGGAAATTTAAACTCGGTTACAGGCATGTACACACACACTCAGTTAAAGGCAGTCACACATACAGGCACAGGCACAAACAATAGCACAGCTACAGCGACACACACAGACAGACAGTCACATAGGCAGTCACACACACAGACAGACACGCAGTAACACACACATAGACAGTTATACACACACAGGCAGGCAGTCACACAGATAGAAAGTCACACACACAGGCGGGCAGTCACACACAGACAGATAGTTACAGACAGACACACACAGGCAGGCAGGCAGTCACATACAGGCAGTCACACACACAGGCAGTCACACACACAGACAGTCACACAGACAGACAGTCTCACACACACAGGCAGTCACACACACGGGCAGTCACACAGACAGACAGTCACACAGACAGACAGTCACACAGACAGACAGTCACACACACAGGCAGTCACATACATGGGCAGTCACACAGACAGACAGTCACACACACACAGACAGTCACACACAGGCAGGCAGTCACACACAGAGACAGTCAGACACAGAGACAGTCAGACACACACACAGAGACAGACAGTCACACACACACACACAAGGACAGGCAGTCACACAGACAGTCACACACACACACACACAGACAGTCACACGCACACAGGCAGGCAGTCACACAGACAGTCACACAAACAGGCAAACAGTCACACACACACACTTACCTCTTTCCAGTGGATGCAGTTGGCTGATGGGGAAGCATCTTTCCCTCTTCCTGTACAGCAGGGGCTTCGGGAGGTATTAGCCCGTCTCCGCCTCTCGATAAGCCCCGCCTCCGCCGCTCGGTAAACCCCGCCCCCTCTGCCGCGATTTTTTTTTTTTTTTTAAATAGACCCGGGTGGAGAATAATTAATCCTCCAGCCAGGTACCTCTTTTAGCTCCCCTGCACATGAGTGAGCTGTGTCGGCCACAGGGCGCCCCCTGTTCCATGGCGCCCTGTGCGGTCGCACAGCTCGCACACCCCTAAGGCCGGCCCTGATCAAGGACGCAGACACTGCCACTTCTACACAGGCACAACAATGGTATAATACGATGACTGCTGGCTTGTCACGCTCACTAACTGAAGACAACGTGTCTTGAACAGTGGCTAAACACCAAGGGTTGCAAAGGTTGCAGTGGGATTGGTCCGGATGTTCCGAGTATCACAGGGGGCCCTGTGCT